GTTTTAGCAAAATGCTTGTCTTTTCTTTGTTCATTGACCATGAAAATAGTAAATGTGATTGGCATAAATAAATAAAAAAATGAAATGACGTAAGATGTCTAAACGATTAATATATGCTATCTCGATAACTCATTCTTTATCTGCAATGTTTTGATATCTTTTAGTCATTCCGATAAAGAACTAGAGAGAAAAAATGATGAGCTTGTTAGCATTGCTTTGATAATGTTCATTATGAGATAATAATCGTCTTCTTATTTTATAACCTTCTTAAGACAATATATATACAAAAAAAAGAAAGTTAATGATAATAATAAGAACAAAGTTAACATAAATCAATCATAATAGAATCGAGATTTATCATTTTGACATCATCTATCGTAACAACAGAAACACATGTATATGTCATTCTATTATTAAATAGAACTTGAATGTATAATAGACATAGTGCAGTCATCGATACAACGACTGCACATATTGATGAATGATGACGATGATGATTGAACTTGTTTTTTTTTTCTTTCAGTATAATCAACACTTTATAAGAATAAACATGCTCACGGTCATAACCTTGAATGCCCATCAGTAAAAAAAAAGTACCGTATGTTGAATATACATATAAAAAGGGTTGTCAGGCGCATGGCCGTAGTGTTCATATAATCAAGAAAAGAAGCTCTATCAGCAACAGTCTATATATATACACATACACCTATCACCAATCCATAGAACAAAAAGAAAGAAAAGAGAAAGAGAGATCATTTAATCTCTGGATACTATACTGCTGGTATTGTTGTTGTTACCATATATGCAATACCATGCGAGAAAAAGAACGAGAAAAAAATACAATTGTGTTTGTTACCGTTCATCATAACGAATAAGAGCAGAGAACTGATCCCCATCAAATGTTCATCTTATGAAAGACGAGAGAATTATGCGGATACTCACATACAGAATAGACACTTGAATAAATTCAAATAAATATATATATATATATATATGAAAAGAAAAGAAAATAAAAGAACGAAAGACTTCTTTACTTCAACATTTTCACGTATGTATTATATATTCTATACAACAATCTTCAAGTTTATTTTATTGAAACAAGATATTTATATTCATTGTAGATGTTTATTAAAAAAATCAAATGATTAAACGAATATTATTTTATTTTTTTATTTTTTTCTTTATTCATATAACACCATCATGGAATTATGAATTTGAAAGTTGTTGTTCAAATGAGAAGACAACAAATAATACAAATCATCTTCTAACATGTCCATTAAATTTTGTTATTAAATTACGTTCAGCTATTTTTTATACAGGTAATGGTTGTTCAAGAAGTGAATGTCAAAAACGTCTTAATAAATATTATCTATCTTGTAATAATCATCGTACATGTTCAATATCTATACGATGTATTCTTATGGATTCATCAACATGTTCATGGTTAGAAAAAACTAAAAGTTATTCACAACATTTAATTATTGATTATGATTGTATTTTATATAAATCAGAATCATCATTAATTACATTAAATAATCAAACAAAAAAAGAACAAAATGATAATATTGTACTTTTTTCTGCTAAAGTTAATATTGAATCACCTCCATTAGATACAAATGATAATGATACAATTATAACAGATAATGAAAATGAATGGAAAGAATATTTTCTTAAAAAATATTTTTATTCAAAACAATTAAATGATAATAAAACAATAATTATTCATCAACAACGTTCATTATTTAATGATATACTTCGAACAATTATTATACTTATAGTATTTACTTTTATTCTTATTTTATTTATGATAATTATACTTTATATTTATAAACATATTATATTAATGAAAAAGAAAAAATTCTATGATCAAGATAATAAAAATCGACCATTTCCAACTGATGATGCTTATGATAATTTAAAAGCAAATAGAATAGAATCAACAAGTGAAACTGGTACAACAACCGATGTGTGAGTTGACATGAATTTTTTTTTTTTAGTTTTTCATAATCATTTTATAAACTTTAATTGTGTGTACGTGTGGGGTTGTTTGTTTGTTTGTTTGTTTATTCTTAACGTTTAACGAAATAATATATATATATATATTCATATAAAGATATATAAGTTTCGGCACAATGATATATAACTAACGGCAATGATGAGATAACACACAAACAAAGCTTTTCTTTTCTCGGTTTTTTTTTTTGCCTTCAACCATAATCGATATATATATATATATTAATCTATTGTTATCAAGGGTTCAGTTACTGCTGCAAGAATTGATTTAGTCTCTATGAGGTGCAAATGAGCATGATGTAACATACTTTTAGTTAACCAGTCTATTATCAATAATGAAAGAGAAAAGCGGGTAATGATCTAGTACATTAAAAATAAATACGAACTGTAAGATAGGACAATATGTGAGAAAACGAGATATGATATCCTACTTTTGTTCTCCTCATTATATTTGACAATGATTGCGTATGTTGTATATAGACCTTGGATCATTGGTGTGTCAACTATACACCACACGCGTATATTCAGCTCAAAGAGCTCAGTCATTTTATCCATATTTATATGTACACATAGAGAAAAAAAGCTCAATCAACTATATATATATATATATATATATATTATGTCATAGTGTGAATGGATGTTAGCCGGCATATGAGTCTAATAGCTTATGCTGTGCAAGTTGTTCAATGTCATCATTCTTATTATTGATCGATAATTGATTGATGGTTCTTTAAACAAGAATCTATCGTTTTTATTGTTAATGATTACATTATCGGAATGATTTCCAGTTCAACGTGTTCTAAATAATAATTTGTACTTGTCATCATTATACAGTTTCTTGATTGAATATAATTCTGTATATTTATTATGCACTTATTTGATATCGTCAGAAATTGAATTAATATTTTCTTCGATATGAATTGGTTTTCTGACTAAAAAATCAAAGTGTTATAGTTTATATAAAGCTAAGATTGACAGTTATATCTTATCAAAAATGACCACAGGATATCTTAGCTGTATGTGGCCAATAATAAATCAACTATCGAGAATCAAATAAAAACAAATGCATGTTGGAGAAAAGATTTTTTTCCAAAGAAAATACTCAAACATTAACAAAAAATGTTTATTGATCTTCAAAAAAAAAACAAAATCGAACGCTATTTTAATGCTAATCGAATATCATATAGTATCATTTCATGTTGTATGAACTTCACGAAGAACAATAATTAATGGATTGCTTCGATCATATTTTCTACTCAGTAGGTATCTAAAACATTCATCCGATACACAGCAAGTATCTAGAAAGCAAACAGTATGTATGTTCGATCATGAATGTTAATTATTCACGTAAGTTAACAAACAGATCAATTATAAATGAGAATAAAAACTGAAAGTCACAAAGCAAATGTAGCATAAGTACCTCAACAATACAAAACAAATCTTCTATGTAAATAAAAATCAAATATATTATTTCAATTTGGAGTCACTATGACAATCAATAAAAGAGTCAACAACTATACTTAAGACTAATATTAAGAATAATAAAATAAAATATTTACATAGGCAAAGTAAAATAATTGAAGTAGCAATAAGTAGATATGTGATATTCAATGAACATATGAAGCTAATGACAGGAAAAAATAACTATTAATAAGTCAATAATTTAATATATAACATTTACATTAAACAAAATATTCTTTAAAAACATGGATGGAAAAAGAAATCAAAGAAGAATAAAATGAAATTGAGTCACTATTAAATCGGATAAAAATATTGAAATGAATAGCTTAACTTTTGCAAGTAAAATTTATTAATACTTTATGTTACTAATCAAAAAAAAAATTAAACATTGTATAATGAAAATAAAAATCAAACGAATATTTACGTGTTGAGTAATCCTATTAATACATTCATATGTATTCAATTAACTATTGATTACATCAATCTGCATTAGAACCCTGAAATTTAATCCGACTCGCTGACGGATATCAATTGAACTTTGAAAATTATCAAGTTTATTTTGCCGAACGCAATCTATCGTTTTCTATGTTTTCTTTCAAGACTGATGTAAAAATCAATATTTTATAAAGCTATCGGTTCATATTATCCATATAGGTAGACATGTTCTCGGATGAACAGAGAAAATAGTTTTCATTGCAGCATGCTCTACTACAAGGATATAACTGTGAGCAAGCCTTTTATTCATTATACTTTTTTGTAGAAAATCTCTATAAAAGAACACAGAGGTCATCATTTGCTAGTAATTAATAAAGATGATTGCTATACTATTATAGTTTCTTAATAAAGTTAAAGGCATAACACTTGATATCTTACACACTGGCATAATACTATGATTATTCAATAATATATATCTAAGTTTCAATTTGGTTTATATTCTGTATCCTTATAAAATTTAAGTGTTTATCGAATAACCATATTCAAAGATAATAGATAATGTAGTTTAAACAGACGAAAAATATTTTCTGGTTCCAAATGGTAAATCCACATAGAATTCTAATTTGCACATAAGAGTAATAGTTTCAACGAGCTAAAGGTAGTCCCATATGCATACTTTATTATTACTAAAGTCTATGAAATATAGACAACACTCTAGTAATTAGCATGTCCTGTGATAGTGAATCTATGTTGTAACATTAATTTGACTACATTCAGAACTTGCTTCAATAGACATTCTTAATGAGAAAATAATATTTCAGTTATTTCAAAGTGATTTCTAACAAAATTCAGATTAGAGATAGCTACGACATTGATTTTTCAAATGAGGAGTTGTGCAAAAACAATTATGCCAAGATCGTTGAAACAAGGTAATCACCAGAGAAAAATGATGTTTGATACATATAAACGAATTGAAGGTGCATTGGTGCTTGCCATTAGAGTTTATTTTCTACAACTATAACTATTCTCATTATCTATTGATTACTTCATTCTTTGATATACATTTATCTCATATATGTTCTTTTCTTTAGCTAAACAATTTCGAGTTTTACATGTTCTAATCTATATTTATGTTTGTTCACTTCGAAAAGTTCTTCTACAGATTGAATATATTGATGATGAAGTTGATCGATATCTTCAGAAGTTGGATTAACCTTTTGTTGAACATGAATCGGTTTACCAACTATGTAGAAATAGATTGTTTTGCTTTATATATGAATAAGAATATTAGTTATATCTTACCAACAGTAACTACAGGACGTCGAAGTGGTACATGTCCAACAAGAAATCGACCCCAAGCTATACCATTGGGAATCAAATTAAAAAAAGCATGTCGTTGATAAAGTTCATTTTCTCCAAATGAAATCACAGGTACTAATGAAGCACTAAAGATAGAAAACTATTATTTGGTTTATTAATCTCTAAAGAATCAATCTTACCCATGTTTCAATGCTAGTCTAACAAAACCTTTTCGAGTCTTTAAATACAATATCATAGTATCATTTCTTGTAAGATACATCTCACGTGCACCACCGATAATGATGACTAATGCATGACCTTGGCCAGATTTTCCACTTAACAAATATTCACAACTATCCTTTGATACACAACATGCACCTAAACAATTCGAAATTAGGTTTTTTCAATTATATATATGCAATATTCATTTGCCTAAATTAAGAAATAGTTCACGTGTAAATGGAAATAGAAATTGAAGATGAAGAAGCATTAAATGTGATCGAATATTTGGAAAAAGAGTTGAAAAATATGTAACATCTGTACCAAAATTACCCAATGCACTTAGAGAAAATGCTCCATGTGGATGAAAACCAAATATATAATTTCGATTTGGATCAAGATCTTCACTTTTAATTAATTTAAGAGGAAAATAATTTACAAATTGTGTAAAAATAGACAATCGACGAATTCGATTAGACCATCGACCTCCTTGTGAATCTGTGTGACGATCAAAATAGACCCAACAACCATAAATAAAAAATATCGTAAGAGTCATAGGTAAAGACCAAAACCATGATAAAAGAATAAATGTAATAAACGTAACGATAGGTGAAAATAGAAAAATAGTCACAAGTAAAAATACTGTTAAAAATTGTAAACACCGTGCTAAATTCATAATATAAATAGAATAATTTTCTACAATTTGCAGAATTCATATTTTTTTTTTTATTGATGAAATGAAAAACGAAAAAATTGAATATATATAAATTTATTCGATCAAATATGGGATTTATTTTTGCTTTGTAATTAATAAATAAAGATTACTCATTTTTATTAGGAATATAATCAATAAATAAAATCAGTGCCTACAAAACTTTACAAAGCAAGCGTATAATGTAGCCATCGATGACTTTTCACTGCCCCACTTCTATTATATACAGCTTGAGCACGTTTATTATCTATTGAAGTTTCCCATGTTAGACATACAGCACCATGTTCACGTGCGTATCGTGCACATTCCTTTATAAGAATATCAGCAACACCTTGACCACGATATTGTTCATAAACATAAAGATCATTCATAATTGCAATACGGCCACCTTGTAATGTAGACCAACTCCAGAATATAGTAGCAAAACCAACAGGTGCTTGTTCTTTACAATCACGAACAATAAGTTGAATACCTTCATGAGTTGGATTAGCTATAAGTGCACGAGATAAAGACATAAGAGCATCGTCATTGATTATAGGAATTTGTTCAGTTTCATTATAAAATTTACAATAAGCTTGCATTAAAGGTAATAAATCAACTAGATCATTTTCATTGACGATCTTAATACTCCAACTTGACTCAGTTACTGATGTTGACATCTTTTTCTTTCGATAAAATCGGCAAAATAACAAAAAAATATTTTCTTTTTTGCTTTCTGTTATCGTCTTTGTATGAGTGGGTAGGCGACAGAAAGATACGGAGGCAATAAAAAACGTTTTACAAAGATGTCCTCTATTACTATGCATCTGACTTACGAACTAGATTTACTCGAACCTCATGTATTTATGCATTTTTATTGGGATATTTCGGATGAACTACATCTAGCTAGATCGATTCATGAAGATCTTAGTACACTTTATCACAATGTATTAAAGAATTTAAAACATAGACTGAGAGTGAACCGAACTCGAAGTGGATAAATAATTTTAAGTGCTTCAAATAATTGTAGTTAATGTATAGCTGAGTTTTTAGTTTAAATATGTAAAGAACAAGCTCATCAGCATAAGTTTTAAACAAAATGTTTGCTCAATTTTGTTTGAGCTCTTATGGAATTTACAAGAAGATCTCGGTAATACAAGACTGGAGCTTCAAAAATAGGTCGGATGGTTTCTCAAATATGCTGAAATTTTTCACTGAAAAGAATACTCTTTTGTCGCTTCAGATACCTATGGGTATGAATCCTTCAAGGATTTTTCTAGTCTTATAAAGATTTCCTTTTGCTCGTTATCATTGATTAGATATGATTTCAAATCATGTTATTGATTATGAATTAGCTTTATTTAAAAAAAGCTTAAATATATATAAACGACGAAAAAAAAAAATTTTTTTTTTTAATATGGATACAATATTTTAGTCAGTCGTCGCACGAATTCGTTTTCCAAATGACAAAAATATCTGTTCAAGTGTTGTTTGTGATATTGTATATGTTTCAATATTTAATCTTTGCTTATTTTCTTCAAGTAATTGAAATAATTCTGCTGGTGTACTACCTACAATTTGAAATAAACCAGTTGATTGTGTTGTTTCTTTTACTTCAACATGATATTGTTCTTGAGATAATAAAAATGATTGAACATTTTGTATTGTTATTACATTTATATCATTGTCCGTTGAACGAACTTTTATTTCAATTGTATAACCTTGACCAAATTTTGATTTCAAATGTTGTATTGTACCTAAACAAGCTAATTGACCATGAACCATAATACCAAGACGATTACAAACACGTTCACTAAAATAAAGAAAAAAAAACATTCTATTATCAAGTCAAAAAGTCAATGAACCTGATCGTGTCACAAAACCTTTTTAAATATTCATTTGATAAAGAATATTAATGCCAGCCTCTCTAGAGGGTTCTGTTGCCAAGTTATGAAAATTTTTGTAAGACACCCGAAATCGGCCAATAGATCACTGGTCAATTTGAAAGAAATTGATATAGAAGGTGTTGCTCATGCTGATATTTCTTTTTCAAAGTAATACGAAGTAATAAAATCGATATTATAAAATCTGTTGTTCTCACGTAATACTTAACTAAATCTAACGATTTTGAAACTCTATATCAATTCATTTCAAATTGACCAGTAGTCCAGTGGCTGAATACGAGAGATTTTCATTTTCTCTATCGAACGACTATCGTCAAAGTCAAGATGTAATGGAACGATTTCCAAAAGCATCGTTACCGCAATGACCACTGAAAACTAACCACTACTTGACAGTTCAATTTACACATAGATTGAAAAAGTTATTTGTTCTCTTTTCGAATACTGAAAACCATAAATCGCTAGGTATTTTTATACTCGAACTATTTGTGATACAACAAAGTTCATTGACATATTAATTCATTTTATGAATTTTCTTTTTACCATTCATCCATTGAATGACTAGTTAAAATAATAGTTAATTTAGCTTTAACAGCATTTAAAAATATTTCTTGCATTTGTTGTCGTGCATTTGGATCAACACCCGTCGTTGGTTCATCAAGAATAGCAACTAATGGAGGTCCTAAACGAAAAAGAAAAACAACAACCATATCATCTCTTTTGATTTTAATCTATTCTTACCAATTAATGCTATAGCAGTATGTAATCGACGTTTTGTTCCACCACTTAATTCATGTATATAATTATTTAAAAATGGATCAAGTAAAAATAATGAACTTATTGTATCAACAATTAATTTTATACGTGAATGTTGAACACCACGTATACGTGCTAATAAATAAAGACTATCTTGAACAGTAAGATAATTCATACTACAATTTTCTTGTGGACAATAACCTAAATGACGTGTTGATCTTATTCGACGATGAACATTTTGTCCATCAATATAAGCTGTGCCTTGTGTTGACATTAAATCACCAACAACAATACGAAATGTTGTTGTTTTTCCAGCACCCTGTGTAAATTCATTACAAATATTTGTCTTTTATTATTTGAAAATTCTTTTCATACTTACATTATAACCAAGTAATCCAAATGCTTCACCACGACGTGCACCAAATGTTAAATGATTAACAGCTAAAACTTTACGTATTGGATAATATTTAACAAGATTATTAACTGTTAAATGATCAGCATGTTCGTCATTATTAGATGAATTTTTTTCATTTTTTAATACTCGATGACGTTCAGCTAAAACATCATCATCAAGTTGATTTTCATTAAAATTTGATTTATATAAACATGACAATGAAAATTGTAATAAACCACTATCAATTATAATTAATATTAATAAGAATAATAATATATGTAAAACAAGTATTCCAACATTCCATCCAATTGTATCATCACCAATTGCTGTAAAAAGTTTAAATGCAGGAATACCTAAACCCAATGGATCAGTAATAAATCTACATAATCGACTTTTTTTTGCTAAAAGATATGTTATTATAACTTGTGCATTTATAGTTGGTGATATAACATTAAATAACCAATATACAAATTTTTGAATAGATGTATTTCGAATAAGCATTGTTACTATTGGAATGATAATACTTATAAAATGAAAAATTATTAATAGAAAACATATTGTTATACCACCCTAAAAAAATTAAAATCATAAATAAAAAAAAAAAACATTTCATTAATAATGAAGGAATCGCATCAAGTGATTTGATCGCTTGCTCGATACATTTTACTTCATTAAGTAGGTTTGCTAAGATTAGAAAAAGCCTACGAAGTTTTTTTTTTTAAACAAAATACTCTAGTTCTACTCATATCTCTGGATTTATGAACTATCAAAAAATTAGTTAGGAAACTAAAACAAGAAAATAGTAATGTTTTATATTCTATGAAAGGATCTATTCAGTCGAAAATTCTGAAAAAGAAAAATAAACATACATACAAGAATATCACTTCGGAAAAATTTTGTTAATAAATAAACAAATGGTAATGTTGGTAATGCAATTAAAATTGTTAATGGATAAAATTGTACTCGTAAATTCCATGGACTAGCAAATTCAAGTGGAATCATAGTTTCTAATTGAGGTTTCTTATTTGGTATACCATTAAAAGTAATATCAAATATACAATAAATAGCAAGTAAATAACAAAACCATATAACTGAAATAATTATATCAAATAGATAACTAAATAGCCAATATGATGCTGGACTAGAATATAAAATACATTAATTAAATATATTTTATTATTAACCATTAATCAACTTGAATAGGAACTACTTCGTTCGATATGAGAAGAGAGAACGTCTTCAAATGTGATTTATCAATTGAACTGATATTTTGTTCATACGTAGGTCAGTGCAAAAAAGTAAAAATATTTTAAAACGTCGAGATCACATACATGACACTAGACTATACTATCATTACATTAGTCGAAAATGTTAGTTTTCCCGTAACTAAGGAAAGTTTCGATGAATCCTGACGATAACACTAACACTCTTTTGCTACATAGTAAAAAAAAAATAATCTGAAGTTTCACTTACTGTAGACCACTGATATTCAATAATGATAAAAAGCTATCTTTTCGTTCACTGATTAAAAATACAGTTGTATAAAAGAATAAAATATAAAATATAAATCTACAAAACAAAAGAAAAGACAAAGAATTAAAATTAAAATTTTTTAATATGACATACACATCAAGCATGAGTGATGTTGGTAATAATTTAAGAAAACATGATGCTGTACTTAATAAATTCATAAAAGTACTAACAGATGGTTTTGCTGTAAAATTTCCTATATTTTTATAAATAAGTGTTGTTTGAATTGATGCACTCGTATCATTTAATATATGTTTATAGAATGTATTTGATGCAAGTGAAACAATTTCATAACCTGATATTAAATTAGATGATAATACTTGAATTGTATATTTATTTCCAATTGGTTTAGGAATACTAAAACCAAGATAAATATCTGTATATGTATATGGACGATCAATTCGTTTTTCTAGAAATAATAAGATGTTTAAGATTAGTTTAGTTTTTGATTATATAAAAAAAGAAACATTTACGCCAAATATTTTGATTCATTTCAAATATATTTGCTGATCCTTGTTCAAGTTTTGAACCATCAATCGATGCACGAAAATATTTTTCTATAATTGGATCTACATGATATAAAATTGTTTGTGGATTAAGAGAATTTATATTCATATTAAATATTCCATTTTCATTTTCATTAGAAAATATTAAATTTGATAGAAGATTATATAAAATAGGTAATAATAAAACAATAAATGTTAATCCCCAACGACGATAACGTATAAGTGAAGTTTTTATTATTAAACCATAACATTGATTTAAATGATAACGAATACCAGTAAGAAAATGTCGATTATTAAATACATAATCACATTGTTTGTCTAGAAAAATGATAAAAATTAATTAATCCTCTGTGAGAATAGTCTAGTAATCACTATCAGATGTCAAGACATTGTTTACTAAATTTCTCAAGTTAAATAAAACTTAATTACAAACCGATTGTATCAATATTGATCGATGTTGAATGGAATTCATTATTATTTTTTATATCTCGTGTTATTTTTAAAAATACATCATCCATAGTACTATTTTGTACTCCATAATTTTTAATTCGATTTTGGTTTTTCATCATTTCAAGTTGATTTAATGCTTGTAC